ATCACTTTTTTCCTTGTCGTCTAAATTGGAGCCCTCCATCTCAACAACCGTAGAAGTTAGAGGAACGGAGGTAGAAGGTTTGGCAATTGGAGGTGGAGGAGGTCCACAAGGGATGGACTTGCCCGAAAAGGTGTGCTGGAAGATCTGGGTCACCATCAGTGAAAGCCCATGCAATGTAATCTCCAAGGCATCCAAACACTGCGACATAGTGCAGACCAAGGCAGAAGTAGAAGGCTCAGAAGAGGAAGACCCAACAGAGAATGACTCAGGTCCCGAGGCTCTATCTCTCTCACCCCCAGTTAGGGCTGTTAATCGAACAAACTCGAGTCGAGCTTGAAAAGCTTATTTCTTAATCGAGCCTTAAAAATTGCTCAAGTTCAGCTCATTTAGGAAACCAGTCGAGCCTAAACTAGCCGAACCCGAGTCGAGCCTGAGCCGAACCCAAGTATTTACACATAAACGAGTCGAGTTTGAGCCGAGCTTATATGACTTGTTTTTTAAAAGAGCCTAAAAACTTGTTCAAGTTTGGGCTCGTTTAGAAAACAAGCCGAGTCTGAACGAGCCGAACTCAAGCCAAGCTCGAGTAGCTCAGTTTGATTAACAGTCCTACCCCCAATCCTTGCTGCCCTCTTACTGCTACTCGATTTCGTAATAGCACCAGTCTCAGGGGGTAGCAACACATCATGTGCGTTGGACTTGACCTTGCAATGATCGCACATCTTGGTGACAAGATTGGCGACGGGGAGATTCATCTTCGGCTTTGAAGCCTAAGCAAACTCCTTCATAAATCCCCTGATCAAAAGTGCTATGTCCATTTGCTTCCTGGTCATGAATGGATGTAGAAGGATGAGCTGCTCCACATTAGGGTTCTTCTCCTCACCCCTAGGGCTTAGATTGTAATGTAGGATCTTATTTATGACCTCGTAGGAGTGCTTAGGCCCCTGACTAGAGTTGTCCCTTTTAATTGGGTCAAGTCCTCATAGGTGAGCTGTACATATTCAGAGAGTGTTTTACTCCCTTCGACATTGTATGGGTAAATAGGGGTATTAGGGGGAGGCCTCTAGTAATTCATCAGGGTAGCAATCAAATTCGGGGTCACGTTAAATGTCTTCCCTCTCACATTCGTCCTAAGAATAGAATTATCCTCGCCCAACATAATCAATTTCCTATAAAACTCCCTGCACAACACTAGGTTATACTCGCTAACCGGCTCAAACCAATTCCCCAACCCATGACCCTCTATGACCCTCATCACTTCATTATTCGGCTCAAGAGTGTTCTTATCCACAAATCGCTCACATGTGAAATTTTTCTTGTCTATCATTTGCTTGCGAGCATCATTTCTCATTTTTGTTCTCCTCTCTACCCTCTCTTCACTACTTGGGCCCTCAACACTCCTCTTGTGGGAACTAGTGCCCGTGGGTTGTGGGTAATCCAGATCCATGCGTTTGGTGTGGGCCATGAGTACCAACAGTGCCCCCAATATCCACAAACATCAAAAATCACATCAAGAGATGCTCAATGAGCTTAAAAGCATCAAAGGAGATCCTACCCATGTGAGCCATTGCAATGGAGTTCAAGGTTTTGGAGAAATTGAAGAGAACTTGAGATTTGAGAGAAAAGAAAAACCTAGGGTTTTAAAGGAGAACTCTAAGAAATTTCGGTGAAATTTGGTTAATAATCAACCCTAGCTATGGAAAATTGAGGATTTGGATGGTGGGTGAAAGATCCTTGCAGCTTGGAAAAGATTAGAGAAAGAGAAAAGAGTTTGGGAGATTAAGATTTGAGGAAAATGTGAAGGGTTTCCCGAAAAAACTGAACTTAAAACCCTCATTTTTTGCCTTTAGGGCAAAACCTTCCGGAATGTCGAAGCAAACCTTCTGGAAGGTTTTGGCAGAAGTTGAGGCAAAAGTTGTCTAGTGTGTCAAACGTTCCGAAAGGTCGAAGCAAACCTTCTTAAAGGTTTTGCATAATAACTAAACCTTCCGGAAGGTTTTGCCTTTTTTGCAAAGCAATTTATGTGCTCCAAATCTCACTTCCAAACCAACTTATCCCAACTCCTAGACATTCTAACAACCTATCTATGACATCTTCTCTACCAAAAACCTAAACCACACATGTGAACCACAATTAAGTGATCATGCCCAAAGTCGTTTCCGAAATTGCAATATGATTTACAATTTTGATGCTTTCAAAATACAAGACATGGATTTATAAGTTTAACTACCAAAATGAATACCCAAGATGTAAAGCATAGATTCAAATGGTAAAGGCATTCCTAATTCGATCGAATATCAAAATTTGAGCAATATTCCCCCATCTCACAAGCATAGGGCTACATGACGACATTGTTCAAATACCTAAACTAAGCACACATGAGCATCACCATGGCTTTAAATACTATTCTAGAGTATGCACATACACATTCATTTTCAAACTCGTGTGTGTGTGTGAAATGGATATGTAATTTAAACATTTACACAACGGATTTCACATTCACTTTGGCTATCCAAATTAAGCTTCAATGCGAAACTCACCAAGGGTGTATCTCAACAATGAATCACACTAGTTATCCTAGCATGCTCTTTATGTGTATATGTGAGATAGAATCATGTATACAAAACGAAGTATGCTAACATATAATCCAAAAGTAAAGTACATGCATAAGAATGAAACAACCTTTGACATAATCTCATGAAAAAAATGCTAGGGCCCTAGATAGTTAAATCAACCATTCTTTTTTTTTTAAAAGTGTGTTTTCCCCATGTTGTCTTTAGATCATTTAGGACTTCAAAGGTTATAATGGGGTCTTGTGGTGATATTAAGGCAAGTGAAACAAAGGATAGAGGATAATAAAGAGGGTTGTTCCAGGTGAATGACCTTTATTTCAAAAAGATCTCACTTTTTATGGAATTTTCAGTCTAACACCATCATTTCACTCTTTATTTCTTTTTCTTCTTTTCCTTAACATTTTCCTGCTTTCTTTGATTATTTTTTTAATTCTTTCACCCCTTTTCTCTCCCTTTTATTGGATTCTTTATTCTTTTTTATTCAACATATGAATTCCACATAATCATCCCTTTGTTGGGTTTTCACATCACCATTCCTTCTCTTTTACGATCAATCATAGTCAACTCTCAGAACAACCAAGGTGTGGTAAATTTTATCATTTTGCACCAGTTTGATCAATTGTATGACATGGAAACGAATTTTCAATAAGGCTCAATCACGACACTAGGGATAAACTTTTCTCAAGAAAAGGGCTAAGGCTCAAAGTAAGTCAAAGATGACCTGAGATCATCTCTAGATAAGCATGGGGGCATTATGCATTTCAAGACAAGTCAATCAACTACCTAAATACACTCTAACCAAAACAAACATAATGAGATTATTGAACAAATTTAAAATTTGAAGAATTGTTCCTTGAGTAAATGTAAGTTCCCTCCAACAAGAATTTGCACTAAAATTATCATAGGTCCTTACTCATCTCTACTATACATGTCAAACACTAAAATGTGAACTCAATCCGTAAATTGTCGAAATTACACATTCAAGATGCACATATGGGCTAGTTCAAAAGCAAACACATATGTGATACTCAAGCATAGGATGAACTTCTATAATATGCTCATGTTTTCAAAGTTCCAAGCAAATATCAATAATATCAACAAACCTATAACATTCTAAATAGAAAAAAAGTCATTTAATGTTGGATTAAGAAAGTATCCAAGAGGATAATGATTTGACACATTTTCAATATTTTGATCATAATTTTTTACTCTGATATCTGATTGACCTGATTTTTGCGGTGTTGGAAAAAAGACTTCAAGGTTTACAAAAGTATATTCAAGAAAATTTCGTAAATTGGCCACTAATTATGCAAAATTCAAGCTCAAAATCTAGACAAATTTTGTACCTGCGCCCCCAAGATTTTATGTACAAGATTTAACCTTCAAAAACTTCTTTTTTGAAAGAAAATTCTTCTCAATCCAACTTTATATCTTCTACTTATACCTAGAATTTATTTTAGTATAAATAAAAGTTTTCATCTATTATGAGAATGATTGTTATTCTCTTCCCATATTTTCTTTTCTAGTTTTTGTTCTAATTCTCTGACTTGCTAAAAATCCAACTAAATTTATGGGAGATACTTTCAATGAAGCACAATATTTATTATTGATTCAATGTTCTTTTTAATACATGATTTATTCTTTTAATTTAATTCTTGTCTTTTAGTAAATTTTTTGCTCTGTATAATTTTTTAATATACTGTGTCACGTACATTGAATGCTTGAGATTTTCTACTACTCAAATAACTAATTATTCCATACTTGAATTAATTAATTAGAATTTCTCATAAGATAGTTGATTTATTATTTTTAATAAAATAAGGTCTACCTGTTGGAAAGCACTTGATTTATTGTAAACTCAAGGCACGGTGAATGTTTGTGCTCTACAACTAAATTCTTATATTTATTTAGATAATTCATTAATTATAACTTTTGATGTTTTCATATTATAACTGCTAAATATTCTGATTGAGATCATTGTTCAGCTAATTTTTAATTGAATTTGAAAAATAGGTTATTAATAATTACGATGTGGATTTAAAAGGGTATATTCAATGCTTTAGTATTTTCAATTATTATTTTAAAACCAAATTTAATGTTTTGCTAATTTTGTGTAGTGACAATTTCTAGTTTTTTTTTTAACAAGAGTACCAAAATAGTCTTGCACTGACTGGAAGTTAGATATTACACTATCCCAGCCTAATTCTAAGAGTAACAATTAAGCTAAAACACTTTGTCATGGAATAGGGTCAAATCCAAAAATTCCTATTATTAGCCAAACTCATTTTTGCAAAACCTTTCACAGCTGCAACACACTTTATACCAAAACAATTGAAGAGGATGGAATGGATACATCACAACTACATTGACTAGAGCTCTCACATGCCCACCTCTCTCTATATGGGCTCCATATTCTATGTCTGCCACTAACTACGGGGCCAAGCCTGCAACCTTCCTTTTAATGGGTCCAAAATCTAAATATTTTTGCACCCTTTCACAAACTTGTCTAAAAATTCTGTAGCAAGGCTCTCCCTTGTCAAGGTCCAAATCCTTAAATACAACTATAAGATATTCTCCACAAAGTGAATGTGCAACAGGTTTGAGTTGCACTGCAGCAGTCATGATCTTGCTTCGTGTGGCTGAGTTTTGAGTAAATTCAACCTTTTCAACATGGGGATGCGATGCCAAATGAGTACCAACTTCAGGTCCCAATCCAGTCAGAATGTTAAGGACACCTAAAGGGAGACCCAACTCCATACACACTTCAACGAATTCTAAACAAGTAACAAATTCCAATTCAGATGGCTTGAGAATTGCAGTACACCCAGCAGCCAGGGCAAGAGCAACTTTCCAAGTAACCATCAACAAAGGGTAATTCCATGGAGTAATCAACCCAACAACCCCAATGGGTTCCCTAAGTATATGACATTTAAATGTCTTCATTGAAAGAGAAGTAGGGGCATTTTGCTTTGAATCCAAAGTTTCAGCAAGATCTGCATTGTACTCAAAACATCCCGCTACATCATCCTTACTATCATCTTTTGCAATACTGGGCACTGAAACAAAATGTTGTTCTACTTGACCGAGCCATTTGAAATTCCATCTCTTAAGGTGTGCAAATTCCCCTGGTCCCAATCAAGTCCATATGAGTTATGGATAATCCAATAGTCTTGTCCATATTTATTTGTGTCATATCCTATTAATAATACGTCATGACCTCCCATTGAGAACTCATCAAACTTATATTCAGGGTCATATTTTGTCTTCTACTTTACAGACTTCTCGTAATGATAATTTTCTTTTCCGTCATAAATGCCCTCAGTGTACCTAGCAAACTTATATCCAACATTAATACCAATACACAATGTGTCATGCTTGAGCATCTCATATAACATATACTTATTCTTGAGTTGCATGCAATCCAATTTATCTATCCTAATTATTCATGTACCACCAATGTAACTCCATGTAGAAGGAGACCCCACATACGGATAATTCAGTTCTAAAGCTACTCCATATTTTTTAATCCTCCTCAAACAAGCCAATGAATTCAAACCTTCATACTTCTTTCTCTTTGCATTCTAGATCTCTTGAAAAGTTCCCTGAACATGTTCCATTTTTAAGATAAAATGGGCATATTCTATGACAGTCGATGCAAATTTTGCAAAAACATGCATTAGAGTTAACTTGGTCTATGATGTTTGGAGTAAAACTCCTCCGCCAATCAAGTCGATCCAAATGACTACTACTCCATTTCAGTCGACGAGAGTGCTCCTTCAAAAATCTCTGAAGCGACATTGCTTGTTAAACAAGAAGCAAGAAGAAGAACAAATTCGCATAGTGTTTTAGAGAATGAACATGTTGTGACAATTTCTAGTTTATTTAAATTTTAGTTTAAAAAGATAAAAAAATTTGTTTTGGTTATTAAAGATCTAAATAACATGTTTATGCATAATTTGACACCATAATATAAAATAATTTGCTTAGCTTTAAATTTGCAATTGATTAAGCATCACATATAAATTTATTCTATATTTTTGTATTTCTTATCATGTTCTGATAAAAACTCACAATTAAGAACTGGACACATTATAGTGGAGATATATAAAAACTCTGGTAAGTTTTTGATTCAATCTTCTTGGAGGGTCATTTACATTTACTCAAAAGAATATTTTTATTCAGCTAATCTCCTTTAATAACTTCATTATTTTTTTTTTGGCCAACACTAATATTGTGAAAGTGATTTCTTAATTTTGAATTATTTGCACGGGGTAGTGTGTTATCAAGAGCACTTAAAGCAAAATTTTGTTTCTTATATCAATCATAAAATAACCCAGCCAATGAAAAAAAATTGAAGAGTCAAGATGAAGATAGAGAAATTTGAAGATAAGACAACAATTTAATCCTTATAAGAGTCCAAATTATAAGAAAAGTCATTTAAAGTTGGATTAGGAAAGTATCCAAGAGGATAATGATTTGACACATTTTCAATATTTTGGTCATAAGTTTTGACTCTGATATCCGATTGACCTGATTTTTACAGTGTTGGAAAGAATACTTCAAGGACTACAAAAGTATATTCAAGAAAATTTCATAAATCGGCCACTAATTATGCAAAATTGAAGTTCAAAATCTAGACAGATTTTGTATCTGCGTCCTCGAGATTTTATGCACGAGATGTAACCTTAAAAAATTTCTTTTTTAAAAGGAATTCTTCGCAATCCAACCTTATATCTTCTACATACACCTAGGATTTATTTAGTATAAATAAATGTTCTCATCTATTGTGAGAATGATTATTATTCTCTTCTCATATATTCTTTTCTAATTTTTGTTCTAATTCTATGGCTTGCTAAAAACCCCACTAGAATTATGAAAGATACTTTCAATGAAGCACGATATTTATTATTGATTCAATATTCTTTTTAATGCATGATTTATTATTTTAATTTAATTTTTGTCTTTTAGTAAATTTTTTGCTCTGTATAATTTCTTGATATGTTGTGTCACGTACAGTGAATGCTTGAGATTTTCTATGAGTCAAATAACTGATTATTCCATACTTGAATTAATTAATTAGAATTTTTGATAAAATAATTTTTTTTTGATTAACTGATGTGGGATAACCTAGTCCCCACCTCCCCGGTACAATTACCATGACCGCAGGGCACTAACGACCCAAAGAGGGGATTTTCAGCCCACAACTGAGTGCTCCACACATCAGGTGTCATAGGCTTTTTCTTTGGGATTCACAATTAACCTCTTACTCTGACATAATATGGGTCAACTGAAGACTTATAAACACTCATAAAATAAAATAAGATCTACCTGTAGGAAAGCACTTGATTTATCGTAGATTTAGGGCACGGTGAATGTTTGTGCTCTACAAGTAAATTCTTATATTAATTCAAATAATTTATTAATTATAACTTTTGATGTTTTTATATTATCACTGCTAAATATTTTGATTGAGATTGTTTTTCAGCTAATTCTCAATTGAATTTGAAAGCTGGATTATTAATTATTACGGTGTGGATTTAAAAGGGTATATTTGATACTTTAGTATTTTCAATTATTATTTTAAAACCAAATTTATTGTTTTTCTAATTTTGTAACAAGAGTACCAAAATAGTCCTACATGGACTAGAAGTTAGATATTACATCATCCCAGCCTAATTCTAAGAGTAACAATTAAGCTAAAACACTTTGCCATGAAATATAGTCAAATTCAAAAATTCCTATTATCAATCAAACTCATTTTTGTAAATCCTTTCACAGGCTGCACCACACTTTATACCAAAACAATTAAAGAGGTTGGAATGGATACATCACAACTACATTGGTTGGAGCTCTCCCACGCCACCTCTCTCTATATGGGCTCCATATTCTCTGCCCGCTACTAACTACGGGGCCAAGCCTGTAACCTTCCTTTTCAGGGGTCCAAAATCTAAATATTTTTGCACCATTTCACAAACTTGTCTAAAAATTCTGTAACAAGGCTATCCCTTGTCAAGGTCAAAATCCTCAAATACAACTATAGGACATTCTCCACAGAGTGAAACTTGCAACATGTTTGAGTTGCACTGTAGCAGTTATGATCTTGCTTCGTGTGGCTGAGCTTCTAGTAAATGCAAGCTTTTCAACATGGGGATGCGATGTCAAAGGAGCACCAGCTTCAGGCCCCAATCTAGTCAAAATGTTAAGGAAACCTGAAGGGAGACCCACCTCCTTACACACTTCAACCAATTCCACACAAGTAACAAATTTCAATTCAGATGACTTGAGAATTGCAGTATACCCAGCAGCCAGGGCAGGAGCAACTTTCCAACTAACCATCAACAGAGGGTAATTCCATGGAGTAATCAACCCAACAACCCCAATGGGTTCCCTAAGAATATGACATTTAAATGTCTTTATTCAAAGAGAAGTACGAACATTTTGCTTTGAATCCAAAGCTTCAGCAAGATCTGTGTTGTACTCAAAACATCTCGCTACGTCATCCTTATCATCATCTTTTACAATGCTGGATACTAAAACAAAAGGTTGTTCTGCTTGACGGAGCCATTTGAAACTCTTCAGGTGTGCAAATTCCCCTAGCCTCAATCAACTCTATATGAGTTATGGATAATCCAATAGTCCTGTCCATATTTATTTGTGTCATATCCTATTAATAATACGTTATGACCTCCCATTGAAAGCTCATCAAGCATATATTCAGAGTCATATTTTGTCCTCTACCTTACAAACTTCTCATAATGATAATCTCATTCTCAGTTATAAATGCCCTCAGTGTACCTAACAAACTTATATACAACATGAATACCAATACACATTATGCCATGCTTGAACATCTCATATAACATATACTCAATCTTGAGTTGTATGCAATCCAATTTATGTATCTTAATTCTTCTTGTACCACCAATGTAACTCCACCTAGAAGGAGACCCACATACGAATAATCCCTTTAAAAAACTACTCCATATTTTTTAATTCTTCTCAAACAAGCCAACAAATTCACACCTTCATAATTCTTTACCAATGCATTTTAGATCTCTTGAAAAGTTACCTGAACATGTTCCATTTTTAAGATAAAATGGGCATACTATATGGCAGTCGATGCAGATTCTGCAAAACATGCATCAAAGTTACCTTGGTCTCTGACATTTTGAGTAAAACTCCTCCGCCAATCAAGTTGATCCAAATGACTACTACTCCATTTCAGCCGGTGAGAGAGCTACTTCAAAAATCGTTGAGGTAGCATTGCTTGTTAAATAAGAAGTAAGAAAAAGAACAAATTTACAAAGTGTTTTAGAGAATGAGCATGTTGTGACAATTTCTAGTTTATTTAAATTTTAGTTTAAAAAGACAAAAAAAATTATTTTGGTTATTAAATATCTAAATAAAATGTTTATGCATAATTTGACACCACAATATATAAATAATTTGCTTAACTTTAAATTTACAATTGATTAAACATCACATATAAATTTATTATATATTTTTGTATTTCATATCATGTTCTTATAAAAACTCACAATTGAAAACTTAAAACATTATAGTGGAGATGCATAAAAACTCTAGTAAGTTTTAATCAATCTTCCTTGGAGGGTCATTTACATTTACTCAAAATAATATTTTTATTCAGCTAATCTTCTTCAATAACTTCATTATTTTTGTTTTGGCCAGCACTAATATTGTGAAAGTGATTGCTAGATTTTGAATTATGTGCATGGGGTAATGTGTTATTAAGAGTACTTGAAGCAAAACTTTGTTTCTTATATCAAACATATAATAACCAAGTCAATAAAAAAAATTGAAGAGTCAAAATTAAGATAGAAAAATTTGAAGATAAAATAGCAATTTAATCCTTAAAAGAGTCCAAATTAGAAGAAAAGTCATTTAAAGTTTGATTAGAAAAGTGTCCAAGAGGATAATGATTTGACATATTTTCAATATTTTGGTTATAATTTTTTACTCCGATATCTAATTGACCCGATTTTTGCGGTGTTGGAAAAAAGACTTCAAGAGTTACAAAAGTATATTCAAGAAAATTTTGTAAATTGGCCACTAATTATGCAAAATTCAAGCTCAAAATCTGGATAGATTTTGTACCCGCACCCCAAGATTTTCTATACGAGATTTAACCTTAAAAGACTTTTTTTGGGAAAAGAATTCTTCGCAATCTAACCTTATTTCTTATACCTATACCTAGAATTTATTTTTGTATAAATAAAGGTTCTCATATATTGTGAGAATGATTATTATTCTCTTCTCATATGTTTTTTTCTAGTTTTTGTTCTAATTTTATGGCTTGCTAAACACCCAACTAAAGTTATGAGAGATAATTTCAATGAAGCACGATATTTATTATTAATTTAATGTTCTTTTTAATTTATAATTTATTCTTTTAATTTAATTCTTGTCTTTTAGTAAATTTTTTGCTCTGTATAATTTCTTGATATGTTATGCCACGTACATTGAATGCTTGAGATTCTTATAAGTCAAATAACTGATTATTTCATGCTTGAATTAATTAATTATAATTTCTCATAAGATATTTGATTTATTATTTTTATTAAAATAAGGTTTACCTGCTGGAAAGCACTTGATTTATTATAGACTCGGGGCACGGTGAATGTTTGTGCTCTACAACTAAATTCTTATATTTATTTAGATAATTCATTAATTATAACTTTTGATATTTTCATATTATTACTGCTAAATATTCTGATTGAAATTATTCTTCAGCTAATTCTCAATTGAATTTGAAAACTGGATTATTAATAATTACGGTGTGAATTTAAAATTGTATATTCAATGCTTTAGTATTTTCAATTATTGTTTTAAAACTAAATTTACTGTTTTGCTAATTTTGTGTTGTGACAATTTTCAATTTTTTTTAACAAGATTACCAAAATAGTCTTACACTGACTGGAAGTTAGATATTACACTATCTCAGGTTAATTCTATGAGTAACAATTAAGCTAAAACACTTTGCCATGGAATATAGTCAAATTCAAAAATTCCTATTATCAGTCAAACTCATTTTTGCAAAGCCTTAGACAAACTGCAACACACTTTATACCAAAATAATTGGAGAGGATGGAATGGATACATCACAACTACATTGGCTAGAGCTCTCCCATGCCACCTATCTCTATATGAGCTCCATATTCTATGTCTGCCACTAACTACAAGGCCATGCCTGCAACCTTCCTTTTAAGGGGTCCAAAATCTAAATATTTTTGCACCCTTTCACAAGCTTGTCTAAAAATTATGTAGCAAGGCTCTCCCTTGTCAAGGTCCAAATCCTTAAATACAACTATAGGACGTTTTTCACAGAGTGAATGTGCAACAGGTTTGAGTTGCACTGCAGCAGTCATGATCTTGCTTCGTGTGGCTGAGTTTCGAGTAAATTCAAACTTTTCAACATGGGGATGTGATGTCAAATGAGTACTAGCTTCATGTCTCAATCTAGTCAGAATGCTAATGACACCTAAAGGGAGACCCACCTCCTTACACACTTCAACGAATTCTAAACAGGTAACAGATTCCAATTCAGATGGCTTGAGAATTGCAGTACACCCAACAACCAAGGTAGGAGCAACTTTCCAAGTAATCATCAACAAAGGGTAATTCCATGGAGTAATCAACCCAACAACCCCAATGGGTTCCCTAAGAATATGACATTTAAATGTCTTCATTGAAAGAGAAGTAGGAGCCTTTTGCTTTGAATCCAAAGCTTCAACAAGATTTGCATTGTACTCAAAACATCCTGTTACATCATCCTTATCATCATCTTTTGCAATGCTGGGTACTGAAACAAAAGGCTATTCTGATTTGAAATTCCCGTGTGCAAATTCCTCCTAGCCCCAATCAAGTCCATATGAGTTATGGGTAATTTAATAGTCTTGTCCATATTTATTTGTGTCGTATCATATTAATAATACGTCATAACCTCCCATTGAGAACTCATCAAACTTATATTCAGGGGTCATATTTTGTCCGTTGCCTTACAAACTTCTCGTAATGATTATTTTCTTTTTTTGTCATAAATGCACTCAGTATACCTAGCAAACTTATATAAAACATTAATATCAATACACACTGTGCCATGCTTGAGCATCTCATATAACATATACTCATTCTTAAGTTGCATGCAATCCAATTTATCTATCCTAATTATTCATGTATCACCAATGTAACTCCACCTAGAAGGAGACCCCACATACGGATAATTCCTTTAAAAAACTACTCCATATTTTTTAATCCTTCTCAAACAAGCTAGCGAATTCACACGTTCATAATTTTTTATCAATGCATTTTAGATCTTTTGAAAAGTTACCTGAACATGTTCCATTTTAAAGATAAAATGAGCATACTCTATGGCAGTCGATGCAAATTTTGTAAAACATGCATTAGAGTTACCTTGGTCTCTGACATTTTAAGTAAAACTCCTCTGCCAATCAAGTCAATCCAAATGACTACTACTCCATTTCAGCCGGTGAGAGAACTCCTTCAAAAATCGCTAAGGAGGCATTGCTTGTTAAACAAGAAGTAAGAAGAAGAACAAATTTGCAAAGGGTTTTAGAGAATGAGTGACAATTTCTAGTTTACTTAAATTTTAGTTTAAAAAGATAAAAAAAAATTATTTTGGTTATTAAATATCTAAATAAAATGTTTATACGTAATTTGAAACCACAATATAAGAATAATTTGCTTAGCTTTAAATTTGCAATTGATTAAACATCACATATAAATTTATTATATATTTTTGTATTTCATATCATGTTCTTATAAAAACTCACAATTGGGAACTTGAAACATTATAGTGAAGATGCATAAAAACTCTGGTAATTTTTGATCTAATCTTCCTTAGAGGGTCATTTACATTTACTCAAAAAAATATTTTTATTCAGCTAATCTTCTTCAATAACTTTATTATTTTTGTTTTTGCCAACACTAATATTGTGAAAGTGATTGCTAGATTTTGAATTATTTGCATGAGGTAGTGTGTTATCAAAAGCACTTGAAGCAAAATTTTGTTTTTTAGATCAAACATATAATAACCAAGCCAATGAAAAAAAATGAAGAGTCAAAATTAAGATAAAAAAATTTGAAGATAAGGTAGCAATTTAATCCTTATAAAAGTCCAAATTAGAAGATAAGTCATTTAAAGTTGGATTAGAAAAATATCCAAGAGGATAATGATTTGACACATTTTTAATATTTTTGTCATAATTTTTTACTTCGATATCTGATTGACCTGATTTTTGCAGTGTTAGAAAGAAGACTTCAAGGGCTACAAAAGTATATTGAAGAAAATTTTGTAAATCAACCACTAATTATGCAAAATTCAAGTTCAAAATTTAGACAGATTTTGTACCCGCGCCCCCAAAATTTTATGGACGAGATTTAATGTTAAAAGACTTTCTATGAAATGAAAGACTAGCACATATAATTGGGAAGAGAACTTTCCCCATTTAAGTTGTATAAAAAAGTGCATTCTCAATAGTGGAGTGATGTCTTATTATTAGACGGTTACATCATATCAGGTGTCATTGTTACACCCAATATTTTCTCAGTTTAAGTAAATAATTTAATTTGACCTATTTAATATTTAGAATAAACTATACAAATGACTCTCAAACTATAACATTTGTATCAATTAAGTTCCTAATTTTTTTTTATCAATTGAGCCATTGAACTCTCTAATTGTGTCAATTAAGCTCTTATGTCTACCTCTACAGATTTTCTAATAGAAAGTGGCAAAATGTGCCACACAAAATGGTGAGTAGATTGCACAAATGACCCTTATATCAATTAAGTCTTTAAATTTTTTTTTGTGTTAATTGAGCGCCTGACTTATCTAATGATGTCAATTTTTGGTCCTATAGTTATGTGAGTAACACTCTCTAATGAACTAAACATAAGGAATCAATTGATACAACTAGAAAATTTAGGTGTTTAAGTGACACAAAAAAAAAAGTTTAAAGGTTTAATCAACACAAATGTCACGAGGATATACTTGTAATTTACTCTATTATTTATATAAATTAATCGCATTATTTTCGGATTGCGGGTCAAGTTCATTGAGACCCGAGAGTATTCATTATTAGCTGAGAAGTAGAAGAAGTTAGAGTAGTGGAAAGGTAGACGAAGAAGAGAAACACAGCGAATCGATGGGTTCATCAAGTGCTGTAAGAGAACTACAGAGAGAACTAGAGACCAAAGCCGATGATCTAAACAAAATTCAAAAAGGCAAGTCTTCATCACTCTCATTCCTTTCCTTTTCCATTCTTTACCTCTTCGTACAATTAACCCTAACCCTTATTCAGTCTTCTTCTTTCATTCTCTCCCATTAGAATCTTCTAACTGTGTATGTCTCTGATTTTATGCATATACACACTTCTTCAGATATATCAAAGAACCATCAAGTGAGAAAGAAGTACACCATTCAGCTGGGTGAAAACGAGCTTGTCCTCAAGGTCTCCTTCTCTCCCCCCCTCTCTCTATGTGTGTGTGTGTGTGCATATATCGAGATAGTGTGTGTTTGTGTGTTTAAGTATATGCACTTAAAATTTGTGATTAATGGGTGGTTTCTGGATCTGGGTCTGAAGGAGTTGGATTGTATATATATTTGGATAGTTTTTGTGTGTGTATGCACTTAAAAATTGTGATTAATGAGTGTTTTCTGGAATTGGATTTGTAGGAGTTGGATTTGTTGAACGAAGATGCCAATGTGTACAAATTGATAGGACCGGTGCTTGTGAAGCAGGATTTAGCAGAGGCAAATGCCAATGTTCGCAAGCGAATAGATTACATCTCTGCTGAATTGTACGTTGTCCTTAAATTTTGTTGGCTTCATTTGTGTTTAGTTTTAGTGTTTTGTATACCTTAATTTGTTTAGATGATCTTGGGTCATTGAATGAAATTTTTTTGCTGGGGTTTTCTGCATAAGCATATGTGGCTAGTTCTCTTTGGTGACTTTTGTTGGTACTTTTAGTTTTTGCTGATATATGAAAAACTAGGTGTAACCCACGGTATAACGTGAATGGTTTTGCGAGAGATATTGGTGATTGTTGGATGAGTCTATTTGAGACCGTCGGATGGGCATATTGAAGTCTGCCCTGTTTTATATTATAGATTGCTATTATGATGTAAAAAGAAAAATGAAGTTTATGATAGCAATTGAATTTCTTACATATCTACTCAATTTTATTTTCCTTTATATCTATATGTTTGATTATTTCAATTCCTGTCATGTTCTAACAACATGTTTAAGTAACTTATAATCTGGTAATCATGATTTAGTTGATATTTTCTGCAACTTTGTCATTAGAAATGAAAGATACTTCCATGTCACGTTAGGAATCATATTTGAAAAAATAGTTGTATCTTTTCTTTGGTTCATTAAGAGAGAGCTATGTCACCAAGAATGAAGCGGGAGCAGTTGTTTGTTAATAACTCCATGGGTGCTGATCATGAAAATTGCAATTATGTTACCCTAATTGTAATTTATTACTTTTGGTATTTGGTTCCTTATAAAAAAAAGCTCAGAGAGGTGAGAACTTCTGGTGTCATTATAGTTTCCCTTAATTCAGAGGGAAAAATGATGGCTACAGATCTTTAATTGATGACTCCCTTATTCTGTTGAAAACCTGTAAACTAAGTGCTTTGGTAATGCCTTATTGGGCCCTTGGAGTAGTTTTGAACCGATCTTTGTTGTGGCTACTACCTGAGAATGTTGGTGAGTGAAGTTCACTGAAAGTGCAGTTGGAAGGTGGCATTTAGGTCTCAATATTACATGAGCTCCCTCATTGCAATTTGTACCATTGGAGAGTTTGAATACAAAAGTGACATCAAAGGCAATGGTGCTGAAACAGAGAATGAATTTGAAAAAAATGACCTAAAAGGGATTGGCCGCTGAAAATGTGAATGAAAATTCAGATTTATTTCTTCTGGATCCATCTTACCTATTGATATCTTTTGTTGTCACTTGTAGTGTGGACATAAAGGATGTGGACCTATAAAAAGTTAAACAGCAGCTCCCCGTTATCAATTTTTCCTCCCCGTTTTCCCTTTATTTTGTTTTTTTTTTTGGGGGTTGGGGGAAGGATAAATTTCCCTTTATTTTGCTGTTAACCATTTAAATCATGACTCATGTCTACTGCATTCTCTCTTTTCTATTTTGATGAGTTCCTCCCTCCACTTTTTAAATTCAGTTTATTGGCTACGGTATGGGGTACATTTTTTTGTTTTCCAACCTCTTAATAGGTGCATTGTAATCACTCTTCAATGCAGCCCCTATCCACTCATGTCCTCTTCTTATTGGGCATCTCACAAAATATTAAAAAGCCCAAAGAAAAAGAACTCGTTTTTTAGCTGAAGGTTCTGTGGTGAAGTTATATCGTCATTTGTAGTTTTACTTCTCTTTTTTTTTTTCGTTTCATTAGTAGTTGTGCTGTACGTTTTGCCTGGCACACATATAAGACTTATGTCAAGAAATATCAAAAAATTAATGATTTGTATATGAATTCACAAAACTATTGTATAACTGTATGATATTCTAGAGTCTAAGTTGCAAGGAGTTAGTGTTTAACAACTCATGTCTATGATCTTACATGATTCTTCTCATGTCCATACTTGGGAGTTATGGATTTTTCATGTTATTCAAACCTTTTTGTGCAAGCATTGAATTGGATTGAGACTTCTTCGTAAGTTTTTTGGAATTTGTTGGTCTGAGTTAAGGTACCTGGATTATATTGTGTTTTGGGATAATTTCATTTTTAATTTCAAGTGTTGCAATGTTGATATGCTTCTGCCAACTGTTCTCCTTTCTTATGTGCCTTTCCATGTCTTCTTTTTCTTCTTCTTCTTCAAGGTTGTGGTGGTGGTGGTGGTGGTGGTGGGTAGTTTACATGTCCTTTGACCATAAATGTTTATTTGCAGGAAACGGACGGATGGAACCCTTCAAGATTTGGAAGAAAAGCAAAATAGCAAGAAAGATGCGGTTGGTACCTTCTTTACACCATATGTATCAGAAGCTGCATCTTTCATGCTACATGTGCACTTGTTATGAGTCTACTTATGATTGGTAATGAATGAATGCATTCTGTTTGAAATTTTATGGTGAAACTGGTGCTAATAATAGTAAAGTTGTAGAATTCATAATTGTTGGTGAACTTCGATCATTAGATGCTAATCAGGTGGTATCTGCTTCCCAACTGGGACAGAAATCTTGCAACTTTCTCTTGTCGAGTTGCAGGAGACACCTTTCAAGATAACAGCTGATGGTTCAACGAATACTGTACACTGTTACTGTTTTAAAATTACAAGCTCCTGTATTAGATAGATTATTAGTATAATTTTTAATTTCGATAAGCTGCTAATGTTTTTATCTTGTCATTTGAGGTCCTGAACATTATATTAAATGGGATATTTAAAATTGCTGGGAATCAAGATGAGGAAAAGTTCAACTTTTACATTTGAGGTTGCTTAGGTCTGGTGTACTGATTAAAGAAATGTCCACTCCATAAATATTTGAATTTATCTGTCTCCATCAGACCCCTTGATACTACTTTAACATAGCTTCTTTCTTTTCCATTCTTTTTGGAATCCATATGGTGTCTAAATTTTCTGAAGATACGTGGAGAATACTTTCATGGGAAACCGGAAAAAAGGATTGATCACACTGCCGATTCGTAGGGCATCATGTGTGGTTATGAGTTATACACAAGTTCAGGACAAGTTAGTTTGCATGTTAAGTTATATTTTGGATGAAATGTTGCTGATGATATAGATATGCATCCCCAATATAACTCAACTCATTCGGAACCATTTTGTGTTTGATTTCATGACACATTGGATTCATCATTGCAGCAGTTATGGATTTATGGAAACTGTTTGCATAACCCATTCTTCCTATTTCTGGTATGGGGCTGTTTTGTTGAAGATGAGACTTTATACATGTACACCACTGTTTTGATAAAACCTTCATGCATATGTTACATCTTCTTTATCTATGACAATTGTAATTTGCAAAAATCGGAAGGAAGTCAACAAAAAATTTCCTATATGCTTGCTACAAAGCATGCACCGATCTCCCTTCCCCTTTCCTCCCTCCTTCGCCTATGCTTTATGGAAATTCTTCTAAACCTAATTTTCAATTAGGATTATGTTTGCGATAACTAATTTCAGTAACAAAGTCAATGAGAAAATATGTAGGAGTTTGATAATATTGTTCTCAAAAAGCAAGAATCATTATTTGACCTTTGTTGGCCTTTCTAAAGAATTACTGGTGGTAAGTTGCAGATGGTTTACCCTTAACCGAGCTTTCTAAGAAGAGGTATGGACTGTATGGTGCTCTGTCAAATTTTCTTAGCCCTAGTTTCACAAGTTTCTGGATTTGGTTATGAAAAATTTCACCTGAGCATGCATGCCAAAGAAGCAAGCCCCTTCACTGGGCAGGAAAAGAAAGAAAGACCAAGGAAAAGAAATAATATGATTAAGGGAAAGGATAAGTCTGGAAATGTCCTTCTGAAAAAAAGGGCTGGAAATGCCCAGATGTTGCTGTTGCTTCATATTGGTGATGCTTTATTATTTTCTTTGTCAACTGGACCTCAAAGTCTGGTATGGTTTGATTAAATTAAATTGAGACGTTATGTCTGTGAGATGGAATGAATTTACTATGTTGAAGTTTTTTGAGTAACTGAGGCCAACAATGAATACCTGTCAATATGTGAGTGATCTTGCAGAGTAGGTTTGTTCTTGTACATGGTATAGTTTTAGCATGGATGAAACTATGATGAAATCATGTAATGTGCATGTCTAGGATCTCCTCGAAATAGTTTTGCTTCATCCAGCAGAGTCGAAATAATTGGTTGCTGTTTCTTTCTCATTTGAGGGGCTGCTGCTTATATTTCTTGAAATTTAGCACATTGTTGATTGAAGCAGTGAGTTAGGCTGTGAAGGAATGTTCATGTTGATCATTCATCCTGAATTTTGACACGAGCTGAATTTCGACTGAAGTTACACTGGAGTGTTTGCAAGCCATGGTCTACACCTCTATACCAAATTATAATTTGGTAATCTATATAGTTAACTAGAAGAGTAGCCATGATCTACCCCTCTAAACCAAATCGTAATTTGGTAATCTATGGAAGGGAGGAAAAACGTTGAAGTTTCCTGTGAAAAAATTCCTTATGTACTGCATACACAAAAAGGAGACGTGCAGATTTGATGAGATTTCTAGGTGGCAGCTGAAGTCAGGTAACTAAAATATGGTACACTGTTCGAATTACTATTGAGGTGTTACTTGACAAAAACCATTTGTATTAATGCAATCTGACATAAGGCAATCATTGAAGCCTGATTATTAGAGCGGCTTAGGATATTACGACTGGAATGGAAGTTGAAGAACTTGAAGAAATAGAAAACTTATCACTTGCATTCTGTGCTTCAACAAGGCCAAGCTTAGTACATCAAATATACCCTTGTACATCAGATATACTAGGCTCTTGTTAACTATTGTTGAATCATAGTACCTTCTTATTTATGGAATTGTGTGATGAATCATCGGGTCATGCATTGATTGGAAGTTTGAATTTTTTTTTTTTTGGTCAGTGTTTGAAGATTAATCTACATGGTAAGATTTATGGACTCTTTGTTGCTTGTAGATTTATGGCTGCGCAAAAGAATAATATGATGTGATTGTTAGTTTTCTTTTAGCAGTAGACTCACTAAATTGCAGTAAACTTTGACAAGTTGAACGGTGTTTGTATTCTTCTCATTTGGTTAGTTCTATATCGGCTATTATGGCATTTTCCATTCCCATTAGTCAAGAAAAAAAAATTGCATCATAGAACCAGTTTTGTTTGTTAATCTTCACTAAGAATAATTGCATGATTTGTTATTATCTATGCGGTACAGATAATAATTGTTTTATTTGAATCAGATGTATTCATTCTGCAATTTGTTTATCTTTTTTTGTCTTTTTTTTTATTTTTCAGATTTTGAAGTTACAGCAAAGAATTCAATCTCTCCAGGCTGGCAAATCCAAGGCATAAGTATGTTAACACTCAATCAGGAGTAATCTTTTTGATCTGTGTTACAGTGTCGATGGTGTTTCTATTTTGTTTGTTATTTGACTTTAATGTCAACTTTAAGCATGCTGTATCTTCATCCTGCAATGGCGATTCTTTTTCTTGGCAGATTTTGATGCTCATGTTTGTGTAAAGACCGTTAAATTTGTTTCTTAATGCGACACAAATTTGTCTATGAAATTATGTTAAAATTATTAATTTGATCAGTGTCTGCATCTGTTGGAACTTCTTTAACATTTTTATGATACCATAGCTGCATCTGGGATTTGAAATATTCCAGGAGAAGGAATCTGCCATCCATTTGTTTTTTGCCATTTTCGAGTGAAAGCTGAAGCAAATGTTTTGATTATAAGATGATGTATAGTGTATCTTAGACATCTGTATTAGTGAGAGACTTGTTTATGTATAACATGTCGTATTTGAATTACATGTTGTCAATCTGACACATAATTAATATGAAGTTATTGGGCATGAATTTAATATTAATAAGTTTGGGTAAGAAGTAGGTTGATTGGTTAAACTAAGGAGACAGATTGATCGATAAGAACTAGACTATACATTATTATAACTTGGTCATATATAGATTGGGTAACTTAAAGATGACTATTGCCAACCTTAAATGCAATGATAGGAAACATAAGATAATTCTACTGGCAACCCAATTGGAACTTTATATTGGGTAATATAGGGCTGTTCTCTTCTCTGCCTGATGTATTTTTTTTTTGCACAAAAAAGATTAATTGAATCACAAAAAATTTAGAGCATTAATTGCAGCTGAATCTATTTTTTGGGGTCTTTTTACTCACTCTAAATTGAGGATTTGTTTCCATAACAGTCATGCTACCCTATATCTGGAAATCTTTTATGTGAAAATATCTATATGGGTTTTCGAAATAGTTCGGAAAGTATTTTGAATTATTGCTATTCGACTCAAGCCAGTTATAAACTAGTGTAAGACATTTTGAGTAATTTATTCACATGTCAAAGTCAAGAAAAGCCTCTGAAACTATTTTGACATTTGGTTTTGAACTTGATATTTTCGTATATAATAAAAAAATTTATTTGGTAATAAGTCTGTCTTTTATCTTACTAATAAGTAATTAAGTCTACAATTTTTTAAAAACTTCAAAATGCCTTTCGTATAATGTTTCAATAGTATTAAACATTAATTTTGTTTTCTAATTGGGAACGCTCGGATTCTTTATCCCTTAATTCACGTTCATAAGATTTTTTTTCATAAAATTTGAAATTCAAATTTAAAAGTCCATTTACTTATTCTTGCCAATAAAAAACCTAGAAGAAATTTTATTCCTCATGTCATTGACAGTTCGTCATATTATTTAAATTCATCCCTATCGAAATGTTACGGTCATAGCGATAGTGCTCAAATCTCTTCGATTTGATCAACACTTTTTCTAGAAATACTTTTTTTTTTATCAGTTTTCAAGGATAATTTTTTCAGCGAAAACAAATAATTTGTTCTTAGATGTCGATTAACACTTGGATTTTCCGAAAACAAACAACAGCATATTTGGTGTTTTCTATTTACAAGTGTTAGTAGATGTATTTAATTGTTTAACAAGTGAATGAACCCCAATTTTGTTCAATATTTTATGTTATTATTTTTTGTAGTAAGCATATTATTATTTTCTATCATCATCTTCATCATCAGCTGCTTAGGTTACTTACAAATGCTCAGGATGTTACTGGTTTGACCCCGAATTTTGTTTAATGTTCCATGTTACTAATTTTTTGGTTGAGCATGTTACTATTTTTTTTATTGACTATGTTACTGTTAATATTACATGTTATTATTTTTCTCAAATGTTAATTTTTAATATTAATATATATTAAAAAATAATATATATGTATATGTGTGTGTGAGAGAGAGATAAAATAATTTTAATCTATATATGTATGAAAATAGAATTGAGTGAGAAATTTTTTTTTAAGGTTAACCAAACTCCTAAAATTTAGGAGTTATTAATTTTTAAATTTAATTTAATTAAATCTGATTACTAAAGATATTTTGGACAATGGGTTATCAAAATAAACTTATTTTTAAACAAGTTTTTTAGTGGACTTAAGTCTAAATAAGTCCGCAAAAAAGACCAACATCCAAATTTCTCATTTTTATAAAAAAAGATCGCCTATTTCATGATTATCCAATCTAATTCTCACTCAATACTTACGTTGTTGAGCTAGACAATACCGTACATACTAGAGTGTTGGATAAAAATCAACAACGCACTAGAATGCCCCCCAGTTGATACTCTGTACTATGATAGTGTCTAGGGTGCCTAGAACAATGTGATGTCACATGTCGGATAAATCCTTAACCCTTTTCCATTCGATGATCCACTACTCTGTAATGTGGACTACTTAGTATTGCATGCCTAAGAGGGTAGTGCACCTTGGAATGCTCAAGTCTATAGAATATTCTTTTAAATTATGACTAATAGTGGAAGTATAAGCAATGACTTCAAATTCAAAAGTTCAACGTAATGTGACAACTTTATAAACGATTGAGTTATGATTTGTTCAAAATGACCATGAACAAGTTAAGAGCTAAATTCTCATACAATTTTTATATTCAAGGCAAACTAAAAGCTAGTTCTTTCGTAGTGGAATTAATTGATATCTCAAAAATTAATTTGATTGAACATGTGCAAAGAAGTCCCATGGCATATGATTTTGTTGACAACAAAGTTTAGATTGATTGAATTATTATAGACTTGCATATGTCTCATATTCTTATCTTTGTATTTAACATTTTTTTGGGGGAAAATTAAAAACATGAAAGGGTATAAAGATATGGAGGAACAATTTTACGTATAAGAAGGTGCTAAGATCAAAGATCTTTTACAAAAGAATGAGTAAAACTGAATATATGCCCTCGAGCTTTCTCAAGAAGCTTAAAAAGCTAAATGCCTAAGATGCTAAAGAGTTTTAACACTTGGCACACGATAAAACTAAGGTTTTTATTTCTAAAGAGATCGAAACGAATCAGTGATTGAATTGTTATTCCAATATTTCAAGGTGTTTCAGAATGTTATGAGGTGCTTTAAGATGTTTTAAGAGGTTTCCACAAATATTTCGGAATATTTTGGACATAAATTTCTAATTTTTTTTATTTGTTCTCAAAATATTTCTGAAACGTTTTTATTTTTTATATGACCAAAACAATGCACCATTTGAAATGAAATTTTGATAATTGAATAAAACTTTGTTGTTAATGAAACATTAATTAGTAAAAGAATTAATCAATTTATGGAATATAATTTTTGCAAAGAAAAAAATAGATTTGAGGAATCTTAAGAAGAGGGAGTCTTGTCTTTTTAATTTTCAGAAATAACGAGGTCTTCCTTTTAATTTTGAAAATATTGGGGGCATTAGGGGTGCAATTTGGGTTGGGCAACCCGATTTCAACCCAAGCTTAACTCAAAAAAATTAGAACTTGGGCAAAAATTTTTAATACTTGGGTTAAAAAATCCCAACCCGAATTCAATTTGGGTTAGGCTCGGGTTAAGGCCTCGGGTTCAACCCGAACCCGACAAATTAAAAATTATATATATATATATATATATATATATATATATATATATATATAAAGTATTAGCACTGATTTTTCATTTTTGTTCTATCGTTCTCTGTCTCTCTCGTTCATTTTCATTTTTGTTCTAGCATTAGCACTGTTAAAAACTTGGTTGAAGTTATTGGTTGTTAATTTAGGTGAATATTATGTAATATATGTATTAGGTTTAGAACAACAAGTCTATTTTGGGCTCAACTCGAATTAAACCCGTAAAATAACCTGAAATCATTAACCTGAATTCAACCCGAGTCCGCCAGAATTAAACTCGGACAGTACTCGGGTGAGTTCCTCAACCCGAGGTAGGGTTAGAGTTAGGGTTAGGATTGAAGATTATATACGTAGGGTTGAGCTATGATTGACTGTCCAATCTGTCTAACTCGCCCGAGTTACACCCCTAGGAAATATGATAAATCAAATGGAGAATTAAACCCACATTCTTAAGGTTTTGTCACTTAATCGCTCACCCCGACATATAAGATATTACACATAAACTCTTTGAGGTTTATATGTGCGTAACATTTAGACCTCTGAAATCAAATGTCTATTATTATATTTGTCAATAAATTACACTTAGACGTCCTGAAGTTTGTAGACATTAAATACTTAAATCACTAAAATTAAAATGTTATATTTAAACAAAAAATACTCTAATTAAAGATAAAATATCAAATATTTTAAATTTTAAAACAAAAATTCATGTTCTATTGTATCATTTATCAAAGTAAAATAAAAAATAAAAAGTCAATTTTTTCTTAAAAAATCGTAATTAATATATAATTATACTTTATTATAATAAAACTAAAATATTAAACAAGGAGTTTAAGTCATCCATAATAAAATATGAATTTTGTAATCAAAATTCATGTCCTATTATGTCATTTATTGAAATAAAATCAAAAATAAAATATTAATTTTTCTTAAAAAATCATAATTAATATACAATTATATAATCTATTGGAATAAAACTAAAAAAAATCAAATAAGGGGTCAAACTATAATGGATGTAACATATTCTAGCTTTAATTGGGGTAATTTGATAGTTTAATTTGGTTGTTTAAATGACCAAATTAAATTTCAATAAATAGTATAATTGTATATTAATTATGATTTTTTTTAAAAAAATTTTAATTTTATTTTTAATTTTATTTCAATAAATTTTATAACAGAATATGAATTTTGGTTGTAAAATTTAAAATATTTGATATTTTATCTTTGATTGAAATATTTTAGGTCTAAATATAATATTTTAAACTTGAGGGGTCTAAATATTATATGCCTACAAACTTCAGTGGGTCTGGATATAATTTATTAACTGATATACGGTAGAGGTCTAAGTGCTATGCGAGTACAAATTTCAATGGATCTATATGTAATATTTTAAATATCATAAAATTTAAATGATTAAATGACAAATCTTAAAAAATTTGAATGTAATTCTCCTTAAAGTAAATATTGGTGAACGACCTATATTCATCGATCGGGCGCAACTCCTCTACTGATTGTTTTTCAAAACGATCGTGTTTTGTTAAATGTGGCCCACTATAAAGATACTTTCTGCACAAGTATACAAACGATTTCCAAAATACAAAATCTTTAAATCCACTCTTCCACCAAAATCATTAAGAGTAATATTATTTGAACTTA